GCTTTGAATACCTAGAAAGATTAGGCGATACCAAGATCTGTGTGGTGGATAAAAAGAGAGATGGTTTAGTGGGTCACTCACCCAGATCCCTACAAGTCCAATCATACACAGCGAAGGCAACATCTATTTTCAATCAAGATTCCAATGACATCTGTATTAATAGCACCATAGGTCTAATGTTCTTAATGTTCATTGATAATGTTGTTAGTTAGATGCTTAGCTAAAAAAAAAAAAAAAAAAAAGGGGTCTAATGTTCATTGATATGCTATCTTCTCTTCGCCCAGTAAGTACTACTACGTGCAACACTACCAAACCTTCGTGGCCGGGGAATGACCACTTGTTAGAAAACCATTACTGCTTACACAAAAAAAAATTCACCTTGGAGTGAATAAGTGTCGACTACTACAAGCACACTGCATCAGAGTGCGGATTAAACAAGAACCACGCTCATTCATAATCATACAAGACTCTAGACAGATCAACACAGTAAAGTGGCAATAAACAGCAGCTTCAACAACAACAAAAACAACGTGCATCCACGATTTTTAGCAACCAGATGTTTGGCTTGGTTCTGAGAGAAATTACGGAAAAGGAGACGCAGCGAAACCGATTATGTACACTTGACACTAATCACCGAACTCTGCATGCTGCCGGTCCACCCGGTGAATAATTTGGATTGGGTGACCTGCAAATCGCACCTGGCCCAACATTCTTTGCAAACCTCCGGTGCATTCTGTAATCAGGCACCCCTCCCATAGCAAATGCAGCTCCAGCTGCAGTTGTTGCACCAGGGATCAGGGCATCACCTGTACACTGCAAAGGTTCCAAAGTCTCAACCACATCGCTCATCAATGGCCTAGCTTTCGGGTTCTGGCTAAGACAATAATACGCCAAGCTGCATGCCTTCTGAGCTGCCCTGACAGAGTATTGGTTCTCCAGTCTTGGGTCAATTATTTGCAGCAGTTTTCTTTTATCATTCAGCTTCGGCCGAGCCCAATCAACCAAGTTCTGCTCTTTGCTAGGTCTTGTCTTATCCACTGATTTTCTCCCTGTCAACATCTCTAGAAGAACAACTCCAAAGCTGTATACATCACTTCTGGCCGTCAGGTGTCCTAGTTCATTAGTAATAGAGTCAATTTAGTGTTTATTTGTGTAATGGTCTAAGCACTTATTGTCATGCAAAAAGAGAGACTATGTAGCTCGAAATAATGTTGTAAAATACAAGTGCATATATGTGCACGGTTCAACATCTCAACAGCCACAGTCCTATATGTTAACTAATAGCAAACTACTAAAGCAGAGAGATAGAATTAGCTCCTGCAATGTCTTATTTTCTGTATGTGGCACTGACTTGCAGCAGAAATAGAAACCCACATTCAGTTAACTAAAGTGATTTAAACGGTAGGACCTAATATGTAAATGGTTGATCATAGCTCCCGTTACAAACCAAGTGAAAAAATAAAGACATTGCAGGATGGCTCGTCAAGATTGTATATGCATCTAGGAAAATAAGTTGAATGGGATACATCTCGCTATATTATGCATGTCATACCAGTCATCACATATTCTGGGGCAGCATAGCCATAAGTACCCATAACTCGAGTTGATACATGGGTTTCGTCACCCTGGGGCCCAGCTTTAGCTAAGCCAAAATCTGAAAGCTTGGCTGTGTAGTCCTGAAGGTTCAGCCCAATCAAGGATATATTAGTTGTGGAAAAGTATTCCCAATATCTTGGAGGAACTTTGGCAAAGCAGAAAGAAAAGAAAAACTTCTTACCGAGTCAAGCAGTATATTGGAAGTCTTGAAATCCCTATAAATAACTGGTCTTTCAGCATTGTGGAGGAAAGCAAGGCCTTTCGCAGCTCCAAGAGCAATCATCATCCTTCTAGACCAAGATAGAGGAGCTGTGGTTTCTGAAGAGAGCCCATGGTGACTTGGTAAATTAGAGACGAGTATGACAAGACTAAAAAGCAGAATAAGCTAGGAACATAAAACTGTTTAGGGGTATATGTAGGAATCAACAGAGACTTGTCAGCCGTAGAGCAGGATAAAAATGGAGAAGGGTGCGGGGATTACTTCGAAATAGGTGATTTTCAAGACTGCCTCGCAACATGAACTCATAAACAAGTAATCGGTGATCGTCCTCGCAGCAGTAACCAATAAGCTTGACGAGGTTGGGATGACGGAGCTGGCCGAGGAAGTTGACCTCTGTAAGCCATTCACGGTGGCCCTGGAGTCCCTCCTTGTTTAGGACCTTGACGGCAACGGGGAGAGACTTGAGGCCGACGCGGAGATTGTCATCAATGTAACCCTTGTAGACGGTACCGAAACCACCTTCTCCGAGTATATAATCTGGGCGGAAGCTCTTGGTGATGGTCTCAAGCTCAAACAAAGTGAAGGGGATGACTTGGGCATACGAAAGAGGAGTGCGAGAGTCGTCCCGGAAGCGAGGAGTGGATGGATCGCTCAGATCTGAGACGGAGCGGGAGTGCTTCTTCTGGAGCTGTTGGGCTGCGAGGTGAACCAAAGACGGGGGAGATCAGGAAAAAAGAAATGGCGAGAGAGAGAGAGAGAGATAGAGACAGGGAGAGAGAGAGAAAGAGAGACCTTGAGCTTGAGGAGTGAAGACGGCAGCCTCGTCTCTAGTACCGCAGTTGCCCATTGTCAGAAGGTAGAAGGAAGTGGAAAGGATCTCATTCTCAATTCTCAAAGCTGAGCACCACCGAACCGATTTTAAAACCCTAATTGCAATCGGAGAAGACAACGAAGCTCTCCTCACCGCACCACTGGGACTGGGAGTGCTCTTCTCTCTGTCTTTACAGTTTACAGTCAGGAAATTCAGAGTCCACTCCATGTTGCCGGAACCAATTGGGCTTTACAATTCTTTCTTCTATGGGCCTTCTTAGTGGATAATAGGCCCATTATATCCATAAAGTTTATTATCAAATTGAACGCAGCTTGAAGAATAAATACCAATCATGTGGGGGTCGTAATCATGGCACGGTGGGGAGGAGAGCAAAGAAAGAAAGAAAAAAACAAGAAAGAGTAACCGAGAGAGAGCTGAAAGGGTAGGGTCACTTAGGGTTGTTGGTGAGATGATATAAAAGGGCAGGTACCTCTTGCTATGTAAGCAGTAAGCCCGTCTACTTGCTCTCTTTAAACAGCAACTCAAACACGCATAATAAAGAATATATAGCATCAAGGAAATGGCAAAGGTTCATCCCAAGCCCCTATAAACGGGAGAGGACGCGTCTGTGTTAACAGTTTGGAAGAAGTCTTTAATGTTCAACTACAACGGCTTCACGGTGTTCGATTCCAAAAGGAGATTTGGTTTTCCGAGTGGATAACTATATGCACGGCAACAGAGACCAGATCCTTCTCATGGACTCATTATATATAGACCTATCGTACATCAAGCTAACATAATATTTTATCAAGAGTCTTTTTTCTTGAAATAATATCTTCAAGCGTGATCCAATAATATCTTACAACAAAAACCTAAAATTACAAAATTTGATACATTTCAAGACTTTAATCCATTAGCTGTTTCTTTCTTTTTATAAATTTGACTCCATCCAAAATGAGAAAGAAAATTACTATTCAGAATGAGAAAGAAATTAAAGAAAACATGTGACATGCATATTGATATATGCATGTGATTCCCCAAGAGCTAGGCGATCAATGATTGATGGGGTCAGCTAGCTACATTATGATATTATCAGGGTCTATCAGTGTCCAAACTATATATTATTAAAGATTCCAATTTGATTTATAACACCAACCCCCGATCCCATCGCGAGATTTTATCATTTGATCAGACAATAATAAATAAATATATATATCTTCATTAATCGTGTACGTATTCTCCTATATAATTGCACTAAGTGTGTGTATATATGTGTTCACATGAATACATGTATGGTGTGAGCTGTGAGCTGCTAGCTAGCTGTATCGTTTAGAATCTATTTGATTATTGTATAAAAAACATCAATGATTGAAATTAGGAGCAAGAGATCAAATTATATATATCTATAACTAGTAGTGGTAGATGGAGTTTTGGGAAGTGACTCGGTAATTAGTAGGATGGAGAATGAGGTGCGATGGATGAATGAAGTGTCGTCCGATAGCAGCAACGATGGTGAATCTTTCATTGAAATAAAAATCAACAAACCAGTCACAGACACAGGATTGAGCATCTCTTCTTCGCCATCTCCCGATAACGAAATGCAGACGACAGCAATCTTCTCATCGGCGTCTAGTTGCTTCTCTGCATACAGCAACGTGACGAGGTTGATGATGAAAGTGGGGTGTTTGAGTATAGTGGGAGTCATAAGAGAGAAAGTGAACGTGGGAGAGAGGTGGGTCCTCCAAGTTATACAGAGACGACGAAACAAGAGCCCCCTACGAAGGGAGCACTACTAACAAGGATGAAACATTAACGGACACGGACGATTCCCTCAAGGCAGCTATCGCTTACTGCAATGCCTCATCTCTCTCTCCCGTCTACAAACTTGATTATTAATACCCTTTCTAGAGAATCATGTTGGAACCAATATTTTTCGGTGTGTCCAATTCACGGGCATCATCATCATCATCTATATCATTGCTTTTTAATTTTTTCTTTTTTTTTTAATCTTTTTGCTTTTAATTCCGTTTAAAAATATATTTCTAATTTTATGAAAGATGTGTGATCATCATCCTCCCAAGTCCCAAGTCAGGTCAAACATATATAGTTTTGAGGCTTAGTCTTAGATGATCAAATACTTTTACAAGTTTTTAAGATTTTGTTGTGGTGTTTGTATAACTTGTAAACTTGAGTATTTAAATAAAATGAAACTAAATAAAAAAAAGTTTCATAAAACTTTGGAAGACTTCGCTGGCTGGTCTGGTTTACATATGAACAGAGAGAAGACTCAGCTCTTTCACGCAGGTTTGAGCCAACTTGAAAGCAATGCTTTGACAAGCTATGGTTTCACACTTGGGTCTCTACCTATACGTTACTTGGGGCTGCCTTTGATGTGCAGGAAGCTCAAAGTTGCTGAGCACTCACCGCTAATTGAGAAAATCTCAGCTCGCTTTAACTCTTGGGCAGTTAGATCCCTCTCCTTTGCTGGTCGCGTTCAACTCATCGCCTCGGTAATTTCTGGAATTGTAAATTTTTGGATATCTACCTTCATTCTTCCCCTGGGCTGCATTAGACGTATTGAATCCTTATGCTCACGCTTCTTATGGTCGGGTAGAATTGATAAACAAAGAATGGTGAAGATTGCTTGGTCTCAGGTTTGTTTACCAAAAGTTGAAGGAGGACTTGGTCTTAGGAGATTTTCTACTTGGAATAGGACTCTCTGTCTAAGAATGGTTTGGCTATTGTTTGCCAATAGTGGATCACTGTGGGTCGCTTGGCATAAATACTGTTGGTACCGGATCCCGCAAGGGGTCCATTTTACATGTTGGAGAACCATCACTTTACAAAATCCAAGGAGCCCTATCTTGCAAAAGGGGTGGTCAAACTTTGACATTAATTTGTAGTTTAATTCATGAATTAATGGTCATGGTCAAAGGAGTAAACTTGTCATTCAAGTTTAGGAGTTAATTGCCAAAATTGGAGTTATTTAGTGGAGTTAATTCTGAAATTAATGGCCAAGTAAAGACATCCTAGAAGGAAGGAAGAGGCTATAAAAGAGAAGTGAAGACTCCAAGAAAGGGACACTTATATTCTTGGACACTTATATTCTTGGACACAAGATTCATCCTCTATATTTTCTCACTATTATTTTCTCCACAAACTTATACGATCTATTCAACCCATCTTTGTGCTTGTCTAATGAGAGCTTTGTCCCATCTTCAACAATGATGTTACCAACCCTGGGGGGGTTCAGGTTCAACATTTGGCGCCGTCTATGGGGACATAAAGCTTTCTTACTTCTAAAGCACTAATTCGAGGTGAAGAACAATCAATACTGAGATAGAAATCAACGTCGTAACGATGTCAATCCGAAGCAGAACAAGGTCGTAACGATGATGATTTGGAGACCGACACGTAAAGGTGTTGATCCGAAATGGATCAAAGTTGTAGCGATAACGGTCTCAGTCGTAACGGTGGTGGTCGAAGAAGGACAAAGACATAACGTCCACGGCGTTACAACAATAACAACAAGAGGACTAAAACAGTCACATCCCTAAACATGTGACGAGGAGAGCATATGGAGGGATTACACATACTTACAACCATGTCTAAGTTGACATAAATTATTCTTTTTTCTTTTTCTTTTTTGACAGAAACTAAACGGAGCGATTCCAAGTTATTACGTCATACCATTGACAGAGTGAAGAGGATCTAAGTTGATGACTTAACGGAGGTAATCCGAGTCATACCAGAAGCCACCCAAGTCATGATGATGACTTGGCCACACATTTCCCGAAGACTGAAGATCCAAAACATAGCGTCAACGTAATGGCAACGACACGATCTCGTATTGGTGACTTGATGTTACAGTATTGTTACGGCGATGTAGTCATCTCGCAATAATAACTTAGCGTTCAAGTCACAACAGTGACGATTCAAGTCATAATGATGATGAATCGTGGCTTGATACCACAATGATGTTAGCCTTGGTGTTACCGTGACGACCTAACGATGTTGTAGCAGTGGTGTTATAGCTGTGAAAACCTTCACATATCTGGAGTCCAAGGCGAGACAAAGAAGATGAATTCATATTTGTTGATGAAGTCGGAAGTCTAAACAATGATGGTCTAAGTCATAACCATGACTTAACCGGAGACGACCTAGTCTCGCACATCCATCTAGGTCATAACGTCATAGTTCAATTCACAACAACCACGAATCCACGATCTAGAGACAAGCTAGTTCTTACATTACGGAGATGATCCAGTCTCTAAACGACCGGTGCGAGGAGACACGCCAAATCAAAAAAGAGATGTTATAGTCTCAGGTCGGAGATAACCTCTCCACCTTAATATTTTGATTCGTCATCATGATGAGTGATTCGATTATAAAATAATCAAAAAAGACGATGGAGCTCGTGGCAATGTGCAAATAAAAGGCTAGAAGGAACTCGTCACCTCCACCTCCTAAATATTTGCTTGGTTCCAAAGAAGATGGAGCAATTCCAATTCGTAACGTATCCGAGACAAATGACGAAGTCGTATTGATTGAAGACAATAATTCAAGTTGTTACGAGACCAAAGCAACCGTTGCATTAAAAGATAAAGCTCATTAAATGCAAAATAAAAAAGTTAAGGCCCAAGCCCAACAAATTTGCCGAGTTGACTAAACCCGAAGTGGGGAACTCGCTTTAAGCCGAGCTCAGTTCTCGCATTCTAAAGAGAAAGGTCTGATCAGCCTAAAAATCTCGAAAGCATTGCCACAAGGCCACAAAAGGTTAAAAGCGGACTTTGCAAACCCGCATATAATTTTAACCAAACCCCCTTGGGCCACAACCTAGAAAGGTTTAAAAGCCTCCTCAGGCAAATATCTTGTTCAAAAGAAAATAATAAAAAAGCCTCCTTAGGCAAAAGACATACTTATCCAAATTTAAATTTCAAATAGATGGGACAAGATCTCATCTCGCATCTAAGCCGAGATCTCATCTCGCATATAAAGCCGAGATCTCATCTCGCATCTAAGCCGAGATCTCATCTCGCATCTAAGCCGAGATCTCATCTCGCATATAAAGTCGAGATCTCATCTCGCATATAAAACCGAGATCTCATCTCGCATCTAAGCCGAGATCTCATCTCGCATATAAAGCCGAGATCTCATCTCACATATAAAACCGAGATCTCATCTCGCATCTAAGCCGAGATCTCATCTCGCATACAAAGCCGAGATCTCATCTCGCATATAAAACCGAGATCTCATCTCGCATCTAAGCCGAGATCTCATCTCGCATATAAAGCCGAGATCTCATCTCGCATATAAAACCGAGATCTCATCTCGCATATAAAGCCAAGATCTCATCTCACATATAAAACCGAGATCTCATCTCGCATATAAGCCGAGATCTCATCTCGCATCTAAGCCGAGATCTCATCTCGCATATAAAGCCGAGATCTCATCTCGCACCAAACTACATTTTAAAAAAAAAAAAAAAAAAAAAAAAAGCTGAGCCCGTCTCGCGCTAAACTATGTTCAAAAAGCCGAGCTCAATGCTCGCATTTACGTGAATAAGTCTTTAGACAAAAAACGAGTTCACCTCGCATCTAACAACAAAGTTTGAATGCCTAATCTACTAATCAAAGTTATTGCCGCAGGATTGTCAAGAATATTAGTTCTCCGAGCAAATCATCTTACTCGAAGAACTGGGGGGCTAATGTTGGTACCGGATCCCGCAAGGGGTCCATTTTACATGTTGGAGAACCATCACTTTACAAAATCCAAGGAGCCCTATCTTGCAAAAGGGGTGGTCAAACTTTGACATTAATTTGTAGTTTAATTCATGAATTAATGGTCATGGTCAAAGGAGTAAACTTGTCATTCAAGTTTAGGAGTTAATTGCCAAAATTGGAGTTATTTAGTGGAGTTAATTCTGAAATTAATGGCCAAGTAAAGACATCCTAGAAGGAAGGAAGAGGCTATAAAAGAGAAGTGAAGACTCCAAGAAAGGGACACTTATATTCTTGGACACTTATATTCTTGGACACAAGATTCATCCTCTATATTTTCTCACTATTATTTTCTCCACAAACTTATACGATCTATTCAACCCATCTTTGTGCTTGTCTAATGAGAGCTTTGTCCCATCTTCAACAATGATGTTACCAACCCTGGGGGGGTTCGGGTTCAACAAATACCACAATCTCAGTGATGTCACATGCTTCTGGAATCTGTCAGAAAAAGCTTCGGACTCTTGGAACTGGAAGTGCCTTTTGAGGCTGCGTGGTGTTGCTCAAGGATTCATAAAATGCAACATTGGTAACGGCCTACAAGCAAGCTTCTGGTTTGATAACTGGACCCCATTCGGCCCGCTCATCAAGTTCATTGGTCTAAATGGTCCCAGAGATTTGAGAGTGGCTCTTAATGCTAAAGTTTATGATGTGTGTAATTCCAATGGTTGGGTTCTTGCTGATCCAAGATCTGAACAAGCTCTCAGCCTCCATGTTCACCTAAAAAACATAATTCTGCCTAGTGCTGCACAAGGTGGGGATACTTATGATTGGGTAGTGGAACACACCAACTGCAACGGTTTCTCATCAGCCAGAACTTGGGCTGCTCTTCAACCTTGCGCTGCTTTAGTGAACTGGGTGGATATTGTCTGGTTCAAAGGAAACACGCCCAAACATGCATTCAATATGTGGATTGCGAACCTAGACAGACTTCCAACCAAGTCAAGACTCGAGAGATGGGGTATGCAAATCATCACTACCTGCAGGCTCTGTGGTTTGCATTTCGAAACGAGAGACCACCTGTTTCTTAATTGTGATTTTGCGGTGTACATTTGGAATGATGTTTGCAGGAGACTCGACCTGCCTTCCATCACTTTCGGGTCGTGGCAGCAGCTCCTCTCCTGGATGAAAAGGAAATCTGAAAGATCACCACCAACTTTGCGCAAACTGATAACACATTCTGTTGTTTACGCCATTTGGAGACAGCGTAACAATCTCCATCACAACCAGCTACAAGTGCTCCTTTCTGTTGTCTTTAGAGACATAGACCGGAAGATCAAAAATTCGATCACTGCCCAAAGATTCAATAAGCGTTTCCGGATGCTTATGCAGCTTTGGCTCCACTGATTATGGCCTTTGTTTAGAAAATCATTTGCTTTCTTGTTTTTATCTTTTTTACCAAGAAACCAAAACTGGTTGATCACTATGTAATACCAAACTCTTCAATAATATGAT